AAAAAAATCCACATAATCATCTTTTACATGATGAATTTTCCACCTAATATTGAAAATGTAAAATAGTCAATCACTTAGCGAAAAAATTAGCTACATTAACATTTAACTGACGGAAAGACGAAATTGAAAATTGAAGTTGAAGGACGTTTTTGGTACTTTTTAAAGTTTAAGGATGAATTGGTTCAAAAATAAAAGTTAAAGGACCAATTTAGATATTTAACCTAAAAAAATATGCTAGCTATGTCCACATTACTATTCAATTAATACTTAAATAGAAAATGTTGAAGCCAACAAGGCCTGTGGCTCAATTGGTTGGCCCCAAGCTTTAAGGCTTGGGTGAGGCAGAGGTCAGGGCTTCGAGCTCTGCCACCGCCGTGAACTCCACCAACTTGCGACTTAATGGTCGCGCGCCTCAAATGAGGAGGTGAAACGTTTACTTTCCTGGAAAAATTCCAGCGGCTAACAAACTAACTCTACTAACTTCCTAATCATCTACCTGGTCAAAAAAAAAAAATGTTGAAAATTAACATTTTTTAATAAAAAATATTAAAAATTGATATTTTTATTTAAAAATTAATAAAATTAATATTTTTATTTAAAAATCAATAAAATCAATATTTTTAGATAAAAAAAAAATTCAAAGTGAAAATCCTTATTTGCACCTTTAGAAAGGATAGGAAGTGGAATTGAAAGCTAGTACTGGTGGCATGCATTGCGGAGTGCAATCCGACATGTAATGGTCAGTGTTAGCCCACTCACCAAGCATCAATGTTGTCTGACGCCCACCGAGTCAGCCACTATGCCACGGCAGCATCAAGTTTGATAGATTCTTTTCCTGCCATACGCTTTTTGGGTTTCCCGTATCGGGCCAAAGGTACATTGCTATAAAATGTTAAGATGACGCTAAAATATTGAGTGTATTTGATTTAATTAATTTTATTAGTTAGTAATTGATCAGATTATTTAAAAATATTAATTTATAAAATTTTTTATTTTTAATTATATAATAAGAAGACATTTTTTATTTTTAAATTTTTTATTAAAATTTTTTTAATTAAATTGTTTAAATTATTTACATTAATTTATAAATTAATATCAAATGGTTAAGTAAAAAATATTAATTATTTTATTAATAATTAATTAATAATTATAATAATATATTATTTTTAACAATTAAATTAAATACACATAGAATATTTTTGTGTGAACATAACATTCTTTTGTATGGTGATAATAATACCCTCCAAACCGCCTTTAAAATGGGTAAAAAATACCGGCCTTTGAGAGTACGGTGGATTTTAGTGTTGGTGAATAGGATAGATTTTAGTGTTGGTCTCTAATCTTTTTAATGTTAGACACTTTTATCCTTAATTTTTATTTTCTAACAAAGATTCTTAGTGGTCCTCCTTTCAAGCTTTTTAGGATAACATGGATATTTCGAATTTTAACTTAACTGATCTTGTGAGTGTTTAC